GGAAAGAAAATGTTAATGTTGGTCGTACTTAGCAAAATAAAAGCTGTGCTCCGGGTCAGTGTGTGCGTGGAATAGAAATCATTCTAAATAGAGCTGAGTGCTGATCCCATTTGTACTTTTGCTCAACGTTTAGCTCGTGCACAAGTGTTTGCAGAATCAGAGCCTTCATTATCATTTGTGCTCAGTGAGTTTTGGGAGTCCTGCTCCCTCCTGGTAGAAGTGGTGGACTCTACGTTTCCCAGTAAAAGTGAAGATGTTGTGTCATTCATTACGGCCCATTAACGTTACATTCTGTGTGAAAGGGTAGAGGAGCAGTTTTGAATAGGCTTTAACAGGTCTGAATTCATCATTGCCCTGCCCTTGTGTTCAGGTGCACACAAAGATCCTGAGCAGTGAAGGAGTTAAGGGAATGCACTGCTCTGATCAGTTATGCCCATAGGCTCCTGTCAGGGTGAGAGCAAGCTTTGCTCAGCTTTCTCTCTGCTGCTTGTGCTGTGCTTTGCAGGCAGAATTTACCACTCTGACCAGCTCAGGAGAGCAAGACAGGGAGTGCTGTTTGTGCCATCTTTCATTTATGAACAATATTTTTATCAGTTGCGGTGAGGCCAGTGTCTTCAAAAAACAATAAATGTAAAGTTTTAGGGTTGTTTTGAAGTTAATTTCATTGTCCTCTAATAAAGAGATTATTTTGGTGAAAATTGTCAGTTTCTGCATCATGTAGTTAGAAAATTTAGCAATAGATTTTAGAATTATACTTGCATAAGTAGAAAACTAGTCCTTGCTGAAAATGATCTGTGCTTTTTTTCCTATGTAGGGAAGAAAAATATCTTTTTACTTTCAACTTTTCTATCTTAGTTTCCTAATCATGGTTACTTGACAGCTAGTGAGTCAGAGGAATAAAGACATCCACTCTGAGCGCTTGAGAGAGCAGGTACTGTCACTTCTGATACACTGACTAAACTTCCAGGAGGACTGCAGAAGGAATTTCGAGGAGAGAAATTGTCCTTTAGTAGAGTTAGGACTGTCCTGTGTGAGCTGTTCCTAGGAAGATTCACAACCCCATCTCTTCCCCGGAATTTATTTATGTGGAGGCACTAGATTCCCACCTACTTTCTCTGCTTCATAGCTGCTTCGGCAAGGGAGAAGTAAACAGACCATAAAATGGGAACCAGGACCTCGATGAAGGAGGACACTGAAATTTTTTTTTGTGGGTCTTGCAGATCTGAAGAAAAATAATTTCGCAAAGTGTTTGTACTGTTATTAAAGCATGCCTGGCAGAGAGAGTATACTGTATACAGTGTATTAAGATGACCGTCCATTTTTAGTTAAACTAAAAGAAGCATAAATCCCTCTCCTAACCCAAACCAGCGATTAAAGAGGATGGGTCTCAGAGGAGGATTTGGGTAGTGGTTGTAACAGTACCTGTTGATCATCTTTCGGCCTTTAAAGGGTGCCTGTGCTCTTCAACTGAGGTTTGTCAGCTGTGATGCATTTATTGCTTTTGTGCCAGGAAGGTAAAATTGTCTCTTCTAAAACCTTTCAGAGGTGATAGTAGTCTGTGTTAAATTCTTAAGAGCATATAATAGATAATGTTGAAAACTGCATGCAAAATGCAGAGCTTTTTGAAAATTGTGTCGTCCTGAGGATTACCAGTAGAATCAGTTTCTAGGTGAGCCGGACAGTCTGGTGATGGTAGAGGGTGGACTTCTCCATTAACTGCATGCTCTCTCTTGACTCTGCTGTCTGTCTCTGAACGAAGGACGAATCTTCCACTCTAGTCAGGCTTGTCCGGATCACTCCAGTAACGGCTATCAGAATTCCTGTGAATAACGAGAAATTTGAGTAATTCACTCTGGCGGTGAGGGAGGGGAGTGACAGTTGGTAAAGGTACTGTTGGATATCCCAGGGCTGTGCGGGGAGTGCCTGCGGTGCTCCGGCTCTTCCATCCCTGGGGCACCTGGGTTTGGGACACCTGGGTTTGGGGGGCCTGTCCGGCAGGGCCACTAGATGTCATCACACAGCCAGTGAAGCTGCTCAGCGGGCCCAAAACATCGTGTTCTGGGAAAAGCCAGTCTGGGAGTTTTCTCTCCTCTTTTGAATTTAGTCCTAGCATTTTCTGTATTTTCCCACAAAAAAAAAGGCATACAGAGATTTCATGTGTGTTTTGGCAAACAAGTTTTCATATTCTTGTCCTAGTGTTCTTTCCATTGATTCTGTGCCAAAATCAGATCCCTTCGGAAAGTCTTTTCATAAGTCTTTATCCTTCAATATGAGGAAAAACTCCGTATGATTATTTGTAGACTAATGGTGTAATTAAAACAACCTTTATTATCAACTTATGTTAGGATAGGTTTTGGGTTTTGTATTGTTTTTCCAGTTTCTCTCTCTTTGTTTTATACCGGACCATATTTTATTGAGACAACTGTTATTACAGAATCTGAAATTTCTGTTTAGAAGATTTCTTTATTTTGGCTGCCTTCATGCAAATATTAACAAGTTGCATTTGAAGTGAGGTGGTCTTTTATTAGGGTACTCCGTCTTGTCAGCTCTGGAGCAACTCTCCTGAGTTCAGAAGTCTATCCTTTCGTACAGGACTCATTGCAAAAATGCCAAGCTTTGTACTCCGAGCCTTTTGCTGTGTGTCTGCCGCCTGCTTCTGCTGGCCACGGAGCTGCCTTCCTCCCTCCAGCTCTACCTTCAGCCTTTATCGGAATTGCTCAACTGCCCCTTGCTTGGGTTTGCAGTCCGTCTCAGGTCCAGGCCCACCTCCAACCATGCGCTTTGGCCCGGTAGCCGTCCTGAGGGGCAAATCAGACTGAAGTTTTCCGCTTCGGAGAATTCGAGGTACTATAAGCTGTACTATTGTGATACTTCCTGAGAAAGAAATGTTGAGAAAAAGGCATACGAATCGCTCTTAAGTCTGGTGAAAAGGTAAACTGATGTGAAGTTTGACTTTTAGGACTGTTGTCAGCTAGTGTGAACACATTGGGAAACACATCTTAGCTAGTGAATACGTGTTGTGGAAAAATAAACAGACGTAATCGGTGGTTACAGATAGTAGAATGTGTTACTTTGGCAAGAGGAGGAGCTCTCAAAAGCAATAGAAAATACGCAGAAAAGATGAGGGAGATCAGTTGCGTTCTCTAGATGAAGACAATGAATATAGGCAACTGGCTAATTGTTCAGATATTTTTGCCTTTTGGGGCTGTATTGTTCTTTATTTTGTGGGAAAACTTAACTGTGATATGATGCCAGATGACTGCATTTACAGATCTGTTAATCTGAGCCATGCAGAATTTAGCTTGCTGTAGCATAGGATGCTGGGCTTTTGTGTAAAAATGGTTGCTTAACAGCCAAAAGAGTAATGATAAGACTGTGTGTTGACTTTGATTAGCTACTTTAATGGTAGGCTGCCTGTTTGAAAACGTGGGGGAGCCTGGATAAATAGACATTTTTTTACATAACCAAAAGATAAATTCCTTGTTCAAAAAGGGGAAAAAAATAAAAAAAAAAACCCAAAACATCTTTACTTGAACACCCAGCTGCATCCTTTTGAGGATTAAACTTTGCCTAAGTGTATTAGGAATAAAAGGCAACTAATTTGTTTGCTTTTGAACCTGATCGTAGAATATAACTGTCTGTGATGTGACAAGTCTTCTGAGGCTATAGTTTGTTACCTTTAAGTTGAAGAATACTGTGCGTTTCTCTGCAGTAAAATGAGAACCTTTGCCAATTATTGCTGCTAATGGCCGTGTCAAGCAGACCATGCTGTCAGACCTTTCTGATACTTCTGGGTGAAATACACCCCTTGTAAACAGCAAATGTGAAGCAGGAGTGGGACAGGGCTGCACGAAGGCACTCTGTTTATGTTCCCATTAACTAGCTCCTGAGTTCCCCGTGAAGTTGATCCTACGCCAACAGTAGCTAGACCACTCTGTGTCTGTGTCAGCCGGGGAAATAACCTCCTTAAAAACCTCCAGTCCATATCTAGGCATAAGCAGACAGAAAAACATAGTTTTGCTGCCACACTTAATTGCACTTGTTGGCACTGCAGAAAGTTAGAGTGTCTTGGGACAGATGTGAATTGCCACTGACAGATGTGGTCAATACATCCAGTAATCCAGGAAACTTAAACTCCAAATCGGGCTTCTGGATCTACCTTGAATATAACCAGTACAGAGCGTTTGGTGTGCTGAGCAGGTTGTTCACCAGGAACCCAACTTAAACTAGTGTAATTGTGGGATCATCTGGTGACTTATGTATCTTTTAAAAACAAGTTGATATATACAGACAACTTGTAGTTAGTTGTTCTTCTCAGGCATGAAAAATTTTTATTTTAAAAGACTGAAAAGTTTTCCAAGTAGTTACCCAGTGCTGACCTGTCTTCAGTGCAGCATGGATTGGGGAGGTGGAGGCACAGGGGCACACGAGGTATACTGTGCCTTTTGGTGTAGGGGCTCGTAGGCTCCTCAGCATCCTCAGAAGCTATCCCTGTTCCCATCCCTTCCTCTTGTGTTATCCTGCTATAAAGAGAAGTGAAAGGGGTGTCCTCCCTACCCCACTTAGCAAGTGGGGACAGAGTATCCCTTAAGAGGTGAACTCATCTCCTCCATTCGTTGTTGGAGAGGTGCTTCATTTCCTTTAAGATTTTGCATTTTTTTGTAAGCTGTCCCAGTTTGTCAGAGCTTGTAGATGGTAAAAAGTTTTTTGTAATTGCCTTTTTTTTGGGTAGGACTTCTGAGGATGCAGCAGGCTGGGGCTTGGCAGCTGTGCAGGCTTTGCACTCTTGGAGAGCTCAAGTGAATGGTGTACAGGTTGCCAAGGGATGATGGAGCAGTGAATTAAAGAGGAGTAGGTTAATGACTGCATGTATACTTCTGCTGGCTGTCTTTGGCTGGATGATATTAAAAAAAAAAAGATCCTCAGGATGTGAAGGACTCTTGTCAAAGTAGTAGTGGGTAAGAGTGGGGCATGTGGTTTGTTCATTATTGATGTTAGTGGGAAAGCTTTCCCTCCACCTGTGATGATACAGGAGTGAAAGTGAACCACAAGGTATATGGGCAGTCTAGACAGCTGCATTGCTATGCTGTCTCCCTGGCAAGAATGCAGTCTCTGGCTTAATTTATCTTAGATTGATCTGTATAAAATACATGGTAAAATAAAAGGATTCTGCAAAAACCCCTGGGGTGGGGGTAGGAATAAAACATGTCTAAGATCTTTTGCAATTGCCTGAGTTAGGACAACTGTGACTTTATAATTCTTCATATTACCGCAAAGCACTAATGAGACAGACAGGAGAATGAGCTTTCTGCTGCTACTGTGTTCCTACTGATAAAATACAAGTTTATTTCATTGAAAAGAGACTTCTGTTTAACTCGTGTCTTGACACGTGCTAGCCCTGAGGAGGGTAGGAAGTACAAGTGAGGGGTAAAGCATGCATAGATGGGTGGTAAGCGTTCTGGTGGAGATTGAAGTGGGCTGTTCTTGAGGTCGGTTATGTTTTTCCCTTATTTTATAGGAGAAAAGAATGGAGGGTTTGTGCTCATTGGCTCATTATCGATGAAATGTGATAGAAGTAGTTTGGGCTAGCTGACGCTAAATCTGAAGAGCGGACAAGCATGGAGTTATCTCTTGGTGGGTTCTGTTCAGCTGGGTGGGCAGTGAGCAGCTGTGCTAAGGAGATCCACAGTAAGGAGGGACAGAAAGAATATGGCAACGCTTTCTGCTAAGCTCTTTGGTTTCAGGAGCCTCTGTCACAGCTGGTTACAGTGCTTGAAGTACTCTGACTTGAAAATGGTCAGCTACCATCTTCAAGTAAGGGGGACAACTCTTTTTGTTCTTTACTGTGTTCCATGTGATGTTTTGAGAGGCATTTTATTACATCTGCAAAATGTAATTTATTTTGTTTGAAAATCAGGAAGATAATTCTTTGATTCTGTAGAGCATGGCAAGGCTCAGCTCACATGCTTCTGCTCCTGGGTTGTGTGGGCTAGCCAATTCCCAAGTGCTGCAAGGGGGAGAGGGAGGAAGGAATGGAGGAAAAGCTCCATCTGTTTTCGTTCTGGTTTCTTCTCAACGAAAAAGCTGATACTGTTCAATGTAGCTAACTGCATGTTGTCTTCTGGATGCTTCTAGACAACAGCTGTTCCAGCTGGTCTTGGATACTCCACTGATTTCATCTCCATTGGCCTGTAGTAGGCATTCAGCTGGCAAAAGCCACGTTAGGAGTCCTGTTTCTTGGCCAGTTTTAAAAGAAGAGGTGCCAGTGATTGACAGTTTCTTGAGAAAGGAAAAAGTCTGCACCTTGACAAAGGAGGCAGATGGCCTGGCAGGAACACATCAGAAGATTTTCAAAACTGAGGAACGCCATAACCTTTACAGCAGTTCTGCAGAGGTTGATGGTAAAGACAATGAAGTGGGATCACGAGAGAGTCCTGAGTGCACCAAAAGTCATGAAAAGTCTTCTGCATCTGTGGTAAAAGTAGTCAAGAAAGGTGAGATGCTTAATTTTTGTTTTTGTCCTGTTCTCTTCCCGAAGTCTGTGGTTGTGGTTGGCTGTATGCATTAAAGTACCTTGGGTACGTGGCATTCATCTCGCTTCTCTGCATTGTTCTGATCTGCATTGGCGTGTGCAGATGCTTCCCGTTTAACTGGACTATGCTTCATTCAGATTACTGCTTACGTGGGACAGCTCTGCTACAAGCATATTCTTGATGAGGAAGTTTGGGCTGATGCCAAGTAATTAAATGGAGTTCAACACTTACAGATTCCTTTGCTTTGAGTAACAACTCTAAAAAACAGTAATTGCACAACAGACTGACTCAGTAAAAAATGAAGTCACTTTCTCTTCTTCTTCCCTGTAATGACTAGACAGACAACATCGACATTCATTCTGCTCTCGTATCCTTAAGTAACCAGAAGCAAGGTATTTAATAATGTGTTTGTTATTTGAGGGGTGCACCCACAATCAAAATTATCATGGTTTCAGTTTTGTTAATATTCCTATTCATACACTCTCCAGAAGAAAGTAATCTGCTTTATTCTTCTGTAATACTGCAGTGTTAAGATTAATTTATTTTGAAGCATGAAAATGCCCATTTATACTAATCAACTACAATAAAATGACAGAATCCTCTTAGTTTTGACATGATGGCAGCCATCCTATTGACCCAGTTGAAAGCCTAAATTAAAATAAAAGACCATGTAGGAGTCCAACACTGATTCTTATTAGTTCGTATTTATCTGTTCTTTTGTTTAACAATTTATTCAGCTGGAACTCTGAAGTTCATATTTATTCATTAGCTGGGTAAATACTGCTTAAAGACGTAATACAGCCGGAAAAGTAGCCATATGAAAATGGCATCAGCTTAGCCAGAAGTTACGTTTCCTAGTTTTAGGCATCAGACCTGCTCATGTTAGTAATTTAAAACCATGAAATTTTACCGCTCATTTATTCTTGAGCAATTGAAATTTTCATTTGCTTACCATTTTATGACCTTATTAGATCCTCGAGCATGCATTACATTGACATTATTTCCACAAATGCAAAGTAGTTGGTCAAGCAATGTAAATGAAAGACTTGAAATGAGGCAATGCTGAAGTGGTTTTAGTAAGTCTTATTTGTTTCTGTGTTAAGAATTGAAGTGTTAACTTCAAATACAATAATAGACTGCTCAGAACTATTGTGTTGTTACTGTCCCAACTCTTCTTTTTTTTTTTAACCTTTGACTAGAATATGATGTCACGGGAGTCAGGAATTGCAATGCAGTGTTACCAGATAACGCTCTCAATTCCCACAACATTTCACAGTGTTTTTCATAGGTTGTTTTTTGTTTTGTCTTTTAAATCAAAACCAACTTCCTTCATACTAATACAGAAGATGTCAGTTAAAGAATCTCTTTCTCATACTGTTTATTTAAAGTTAGCCATTTGTTTTTGACATAATGTGATTGCTAAAGACAAATATTTTAAGTCTGTGTTTTTTGACTGTCTTTATGGGTGATGTTTATAGGTGCTTCTTCAAAATATGATGCAAGAAGAATTCTGAGTTGGGTGGGACCATGCTATGGAGCATTTCTGACCCTCTGAGCCCAAGTCACAAAATCTAGTTATCTGTACTAAGAAATGAGTATGAGGCATGGTTGGGTCATAGGATTCCTGTGGGGCTGAGTTAACTCATGTGTTGACAGTCCTGTTGAGAGCCATAGGCTGGGAACGTTATGTTAATATGAATAAAGTTTGTGCTATACTGTTTTATCAAGATGAAGCAGCTTCCTTTATTTGGGAGTGAAATACTGCAAAAGTGAAAGACATTAGCACGGAAATATGCTTACGTTTATATTGGCCCCTAGGTTTCCGTGTAGTATGTATGTTATTCTAGATTTTTATCAGAGATTTCATTCCATCTGACTGCAGGGAAGATGAGAGCCATTCTGATATTACATAGAGAGGGAAATAAGTGTTCTGGAATCAAAATGAGAGCGAAAAATGAAGGTTCTGGATCGACACGCCAGAGCATTTAAAAAAAGAAATCTGGAATTCTGGATTTTCATTTTCTTCAATCAACAATTAATTTTTCAGATGAAAACATTTGCTCTTTGCTGTAATATACACACTAGTAAATTCCTTCTCCCTTGCTTGCAGTGGATTGTCCTGTTTGTGAGGTTGCTATTCCAGAGCAATATATAAACAAACATCTGGATAGCTGCTTGACAAGAGAAGAGAAGAAGGACAGCCTTAGAAGGTAAGAAACAGCTTTAAGAACTTTTATATGCGCGTAGCCATTTTTCTACACTGCTGAAATAAGAAATATTAGTTGATGGGTTATAACACGGTGGATTGTGTTTCATTCTTGGTTATCTGCTGTATAGATCACTCTAAAATCACTGTATAAATATGATAGCGGTGATTTTTTCCCTCTCAAGAAAGTATGTGGATCGCCAGCAGAATTACTTTTTGGCTTTTAGTGGCAAGAAAACACTGGACAATGTTTTAAAGAATTCAACACAGGGAGTAAAACTTTGTACATTATTCTTGTCACATTTCTGCTCACTAGCATTAAAATTCTATTCAGATAACACTTACTCCCATTTTTCACTTTGTGAATGAATTGCTTCCCCTGATTCAGAAGGGGCAAAAGACAATTGCTTCACTAGCTGTCAACCTAAAAAATAAAAATTGCACCTTACTCTGCTCACTGTAGTTCTTTTCAGGTTGCCCCAGTCAAGCTTGTTTCTTTGAGATCTGAATTTCCATAAGATTAATGCATACCTTTGATGTTACGCCTCTGCCCTAGAATTTGTCATGGTCACCACATTCACATCATAAGTGTAGATTTCAGTTTGTTTTACTTACTAGCATAAATTTAGGCCATTATTATTTCTACCTGATCAGACTTAAGAAGTGCAAGGGACTTCTACTGCATGCGGTTTTACTGCATACTTGTATTTCAAATTCCTGTGAACCTTGAATTAGAAAGTAATTTTATGTTAAAGCTCTTATTTTGCCCAGTCATGCTTAGAATGCAATCTATAAGCTAAAGGACTTTGAAAATGAATAAATGGTAAATTAATATTGAAATCTGATGTTACATTTTAATTTTCATTTGGGATATTTTTAGTGTTTTCTCTGTTCTTAATGAATGGAAATAAAAGCCAGAGCTTTCTTTGGTATCAAGCCCTTGTCCCTAACAGAATTTTAAACTTTGCTTATTTTATCTAGACTGCTTGGATCTTAAGAAAGTATCATGCAAGATACTTCTCCTTAGGGACTGGCTGTTGTGTATTAAATGCTGGCTTTTTGGCAATGTATTTATTTTATGGCAGTGTTGTTTGGGTTTCAGTAACAGCACATCTCTAGTTCTTTGAGGAATTTTAGCTCTGTTTATTCTCAAATTAGGAGCACATGGCATGCTAAGTTAACAGTTGAGCAGTATTTCAGCGGAACTGATAATTTAGTCCCCCAAACCTGCACAGGAGTAATTACAACAGGTAAGTGTATGTTCACAAAGAACACTGCATTTCTAAAGGATGGGAAAAAAAACCCACCAACGTTAAGATTCAAAACTGTTGTCATGTAGCTGTCTGCTTGCAAAGCTGTCATCACTCTCCTAGGTCATGATACAAAGCTTCTTCAGGGCTTTCAAAAGATTTAATTATTCAATGAAATTTTTTATATTTCCCAAAAGAATCTGAAAAAAGTCTTTTCCTGAAAAGTGTATTGTGGTAATGCATCTTTTTTTGCCAGCTGTGCTACAGGGGCTATGTGAGAGTAAAAGAATTAAAGATAATTTTTGTGTAAGCTTTTTTTTTTTTAAACTTTGAAATTTATTTTCAACATGGTAAGTTGAAAGTGCTGAATACGGTTTTCAAACAAGTCTCTTGCTTTCACAATGGGAAGCTGTTAACTTCTCTGTAATTCAGAGCAGTGCAGCTGAACTTTGTTTTGCTGCAGGAAGAAAAGTGTCTTTAACTAAATGCTCTTCTTCTGTAACTAATACATTATTTAAGCTGAAGAAGGTGAGCATGGCAGTAGATGGATTTTGGTACCTTTGTTATTTTGGTAC